GTGACTTGCACACCACATGGCGCACATGGCGCGGGTATCAGCATCGATGACCATACACCGCCCGTCTTAGATTGCCGTGCTCTGCCCTTTACTTGTTCTTCCCCCTTACTTTTATGCTGACACTCGCAACGCATACGGAAATTTTCAGTTGCCCACAAGATGTAGGGCCAGTCGATCCAGATGGCAAGGTCCTCCCGCAGCAAGGCACTAATAGGTGCATCAGCTGCTTCAATCAAGTGGGTATGCATCTTTCATGCCGGAGGACATGTGCATACGGTCCATCAAAATATTCTGAAGACGGATAAATGCACTTTCCTCTCACCCGCTACCGCAGGACCCTGGTGGAAAGAACATCCACCAAGAGCAAATCGACGGGCTTCCGCGCTCTGGCTTCAATGTTAATCAAGACAAGCCCGGCCACTGTGCGCTACAAGGCACCACCCCCATATCCCCCACCGCATTTCAGAACAAGGCCAATGGTGTCTTCGAGCCCATATTACCCAACACAATAGATCGCCTGCCCACCCAGCTACTTGTCCGGAGACGCGCTATCTTGCTGCTGGGCATTGATGGAGGGTCGTACGGCATGTACGTCGCTTGAATAAATAGATTAAGTCATGACAGTGGGGGGGGGGTTCCCGATTAAAAGCGGAAGAGCATGGGAGCACACGGAAGTGGGAGGTCCCAGCAGCAGGGTAAGTGGATATCGCCGCGAGTGGAAGCATATTTGTGCATGCCAAATGGTTGCATATTAATAGACGCACTGCATATTGCAAAGTGTTCGTTTGTCGGTAATAGTCGATGGTAGAATGGTTCGAGCTGGGCACGCGTCCCCCCACTAGCCAGCCAATCTCGCGGTCCAACTTTGGATTTGTCTTTTCAGGCTGTAACAAAGCAGCAAGCTTGTGCAAGCCCTTCACCGTTCAAATTTCACCTTTTGACAGTGGCCATCAGGAGCGCACGATCGCGGGCTGGAGACGAATGGTGTGCTTCTCCCAAAAGGCTTTCCTCTCCTGCCAACCCGTTTTCACAAAGAGCTTTCTTCGCCTAGCCTTAAGGCCTCTGTACATGTGCGCAGGACGCAGTACCTTGAAGTGAATTTATCGACAGTCGCTATTGTCATGAGCATGCAGCTTGTTTTTGAACCACCTTTCAATTGCTGCAAGAACTTCGGCCTAAGAGCTTAGGAACAAGCGAGCGGCGTCGAGACAATCCTTGCGAGAAGCAAACATACGACGTCAAAGTACACTATATGTGACTTGGATCGACTTCTTCCATTGTCGCCTTGAAAGTGATTCCGGTGAGCGTTCAATCATCCACGCTCAGGTAAAGCTCAGGTCATGATGCTCATTGCAGGGCTCGCTTACAGTACATATTTTAGGTGCTACTCCACACCCATTCCATGCCTGGAGACCAGCATTTCAATCTGCAAACCCAGGGAACAGGTGCTCATGCGTTTTTGGAGCAAGGTGGTGGACTACTTGTTCTTGGGGAACCCCGCTCAGAATTTGAGCCAGATTGTTTCTCAAACTTGACGTTTCACATTTTGAAGAAAAAGTAGTGCTGTCTGTCACATCATTCCAGGCAGACGATCGCCACGATG